GTGAAAGACCAACTGACAGAGGTGAACAAACCACAAACAAGTGAAAAGACATACATTTCCACCCTGTCATGTTGATTGTTATGTCTCGGGAAGACAGTTTTTCCAGCACCTCATTGCTGAGTTTTGGTCATACTGCCACACGTTTGCAGGTGTATGCTCATGGTGGAGGCTTCATCTGCATGATTTAGTCCCCCATTAACCCTTCCCTATTGCCTGCTGTGTACCACATGGGACAGAGGCAGGGGTAGATGAGGGAGAGGTGAGAGAGGGATGATGTGACACCCAAGGGTTTGGGGGGGTTATGTTCCAAGAGCCCCGGGGATGCCACGTATTCCCCATCCTCCTCTATCACACAACGTCCTGATGTACTCAGACGGCCCGAGCACAACAACAGGCGAGGCGTCACAAAGCAGAGCAAACCACAGCCTTAATGTATCCCAAGTTAATGTTTAATGAGTACGCCATATTCAGGCTGGTACATGCAAAATCTGAAAATGGCTTTATTGTGTTACTTTTGAAGGGCGCGTGTGTCTGTGTGTGCAGAGAGGCTTGTTCAGTTGTACTTACTAGAAGCAAGTGTGTGTGTCAAAGTGTGTTTACAAGCGTCTGCCGTGTCCCAGACAAGTGTATCCATTAATGTATTCCTGCTCTGAGTACACAAGCACAGATTTACAGACATGGTGTCCTAACACACTGCTGCTCTCCATGACGTCCCTCTGCCTTTGTCACCTCTCTCCTGCACCTGTGTGAAGCCTTATGACACTAACTTTCTAATTACACAGAGGGAAAACTGTATAACCATCTATACACATACAACAGTATTGTTATATAATGGTATTCCCTATGTGTGTGTTTATTTTATTTTTTTTCACCGTTTTGTATACTTAGTTTTTTATTTTTCCTTTTGTCCTACAGAAATTATAACAAGTATATTTCAGAGAAAAAATACAATTAATTGATCTGTTTTATAAATAATCTGCATATTAATTGACAAAGTGGACTGGAGTGTGCTTGTCAGTATCATCAGACTCCCATGTGTATTTGAATCACCTACAAACCAGTCAATTCAGCTGCAATGTTTTAGCTGTTTGCGTAGCTGTATATGTGTGTGTGTGTGTGTAGCTGTGTACTATTGAGTCTATGTAACCTCCTGGTGTCCAGCACCCGAGGGGGCCAAAGATTGATTTGTAATGTAGCCTGTAAGTGACCTCGCCACCTGGTGACTCCTGTTAGAATCCAATTTTACATTAGCGCTGATCACACTGACAGGTTATGACAGGTTACAGTACAAAATGTGCCTGACTTATGATATACTGCGGCTATTTTGTTAAAATATGAGAGGGGGTAGAACAAGATGAGAGTTTGGAGTGTGACTGAATGAGAGCAGAAAATATTGCTCTGTGTAGGACAGGAGTTTATTAATCTGGTTTTCTAATCTTATATATACACTGTAATTCTATTTTGTGCTTTTCAGCCTGAGGTTTTAAGGAAATGTTTATCAAATTACTGTGCAAATACATAAACAAGACCAAACAGTGTAGCAGGTGGATTAGATGGGGCATGGTTGGGCATCTTCTGTGGACCACCATGTGGCTACAGCCATCTGCTGGTCCAGTCTCTATTCATCGGACCCACTCATTAGCTTTCTGCTGATTAGACCGACGGCCTCGATCGGCAAGCTGAACCCTCTCTGTGTCCCACTGTTGTCTTTATTCCCGTCCACAAACCCTCCATCTCTCTGTCTCTGCTCCAGCTCGCCTCCTTCAGATCACTACTCAGATTAGCAGACCTCAATTGTCTCACGAGGGTCACAAACACGCGTGGGCACACACACAGACACGCACGCACACAAAGCTTAACTACAAGGATAGTACGGGACGGGGAAGCGAGAGGGAAATAGGTCAGTCTGCCTGCACCCCTCCCCTCTTAACCACCCCCCCTGTCCTGGCTGGATGGGAAAGTGGGACAGGCAAGGGGACAAACACACACACACACACATACATAATCATGCACACATATAATCACACACACACACACACAAAATGCTCCAGAAGGGAAACATGTGTGTTTGACAAAATAGAACCTGTTGTGGTTCAAAGGGCATGGCTGCGTTGTGTTATGTCATCAACTCAACCTTCACACCAATATGTGACTGTGCTACTGATCAGAGTCTACACATAGCAATGCCTCCGTGCAAAAGCACAGATATGAAGTGCAGATAAACTACTTAAACTCTTTTTTAATTCAATGTAGGGCTGTCATGATATCAGATTTGCACATCAGAGCAACACTGTTGCCATATATATAAAAAAACCAAAACATGCTATCAGTCAGATTCGTCTATGACTTGGTTCAGTTTGTGTTGTCTGATCCACTAATGTAAAGAAAACAGCCCTGTCTATTCATGTATGTACTCATACTGTGCTTTTGTTTTGAGATAGGGACAAATGACGAGGAGGAGGTACAGGAAGGAACTGTGATCAGATTCATTGATGGTTCGGTGGTGCCACAAATGTTGCTTCGAAGGTGGGGAACATCAGTGAATCACTACGCCTAAAATACCTCAATTTACATTTAAAAAAGATAAAGTCATAAATATGCACTGACCTATCAGCTGAAATGCATTTCTGAAAATAAGAAAAAGCAAAAGTTTTTCATTTTCTTTTGTGACAGTTAGCCAAAGCCCACCAGATGACAATACATAGGACTAAATGATTGAATGCTTTGACTTGGTGCTTGCAGACCATTTCCATCAGACAAGGGCCTCTCTCATCAGTAACAGATAACAGAGTATTTGCTCTCAGAGATACATTTAAGTGGGTCTGATCAGAATAAAGATTAGTACTAATCAAATGTTTGAATATTATTTGTTGACAGTCGTATTATTGTGTTAAGTGGCAAAACCTACAGGATTTTTATCTGTCCCCTGCTTCTCATTACCCTAAATTGTAACAAGCAGAAAAGGAAAATGGTGCAATGAATGAGTCTGACTATGTGTGTCTTTGCACAGTGGCTTTATTTCCTCAAATTTCACCATCATCTCCTGCTGTGACAGGTAGTCACCTACTCACGTGCACATCGGGAGCTTTCCATCATAAAATCTATTTTAACTTTCACATCTTCATTAGATGTATCCAGACAGTCCTTTGCTGGCCAATCAGGGAAAAAGCATCACTCTGTAGTGTTTGAAATGATCTAGTGAGGAGTAGGAGATCAGTATGAATACACTGGAGTGTTTATATAACCACATGTATCAGCTGTATATGGACATTTACTGTATGTGTCCATGAGTATGTTTGCATATTGTGCACCCATGTGAGAGTGCAATAACAATATTCAGATTATGAGCTGTTGTGCAGACTATGTTGATTGGCTGTGAGGATGACGAGGTCACTTTGCTGATTGGAGGGTCAAGGTTGAATGCAACCACGCTGCCAGTGTTTGCCCTGTTTGTGTGTGCTGCTGTTGTAGTGAAACGAATGCTGAGTTCAGTGAGCAGCTCATCATGTTCAGCATCTGATCCTCACACTCACTGCTCATCAACTGACCTATATACCCCTAATTACACACTGGAGCCTCATGACAGTACAGAAACACCCCATACATAGAAATCACAAATATAGACACAGAGGGCTGGCATACCCAAAGCAGATCTACTATATTTATGTTCAGGAATCATCAGAAGTCACATGTAAACCAAGCGTGACGTCAACAACTCATAATCTTAAGAGCCGAACTGAGGAAAGGGAAAGAGAGCACAAATATGAAAGCATACGAGTAGAACATTTATGTCTGGCTGGCTGATGTGTGTATAATATGAGCATTCATGAGAATTTTCATGAATTTAGCTAAGTAAAAAGCAGTAAAGTATTTTTCCCTACACACTGTAAGTGTTAATAGTGAATGCCAAAATAAAAGTATGGCAAGAAATACAAAAAGTGGGTGATTTGGTCACAGCCCTGAAAAATGTGCCCCATTAAAGCAGTCACATTGGTAACTAAGGACAAAAAAAATAACTCTAAATACACAAAAATGCTTCAGTATTATAAAAAAAATACTGTACCCTGAAATGTCTGAAAATGACAAATTACTGCAACCTTGGTGCATGTACATGTGTGACACAGAGTCTGTGTGCTTTGCATACATATAATATAAAACGCCATCTGCCAGGACCTGAGGCCGTTCTTGCCCTACTACCCTCCTTGCTACTCTTCCTTTGGTTTGCTCTTCTTTTCCATCTCTCCTCCCTCTGCCCCTTATTGTTATTGCAAGGGGTTTTACATGCAGAAAATAATTAGGCCCACATCTCAAACAAAATCATGAGAAAAATGTACCTACAAAAAAGCAGGAAAAACACATAAAGACAGATCTCAACATTTATCTTTTCTCGCACACACACACACACACACGCTCACATACACTAATGAGGTTAATGAAGATGAATGCAGGGGCACAGTCCTATTGACATCCTGTATCTCTAATTGTGGCCCTGTTCTTCAAGGACATAGTGGCAAGACAAGCAGGGAGTGGACCAAAATAGATCTGATGAGGAGAAAGTGTGGAACGTGGAAAGAGATGTCTGTCTTTCATTTTCTTTGGTGTCAAACACAATTAAAGGCACTAGTTGACATTAGCTTGAGATAATTAAATGTGATGTGGAAAGCAGGGCTAGCAGAGTTGGAAAGATGGAACCGTCCAAAGAAAGAAGGTGGCAGACGAAAGAGGGTGAGGGTGGAGATATGTTCAGGAAGGAAGGAGAAGGAGGAGGAGGAGGACCGGATCAGTGATCCAGAACAGTGAACAGACAGAAGACACGAGTTAAGAATTCGGTCAAACACAGAGCACAGTGGCACATCAACCGCTCTCACACACAAACAGAGACACAGACATAAAGACACACACACACACACACACACACATAAAGACAACCCTGAATCCAACAGTCAACAATCAATGTGCCTTCACCATCTCGCTCCAAATTCACTCACTTAATGTCCTACCTGGGACAATGGAAACAGTGTCTCTCTCCCAGGATACAACACTGACGTACTCCTGCACAGCAGCGGGGATGAGGCACTTGAACACAGCTACGTTGCCCCGCATTGAGCGTTGGTCCGCCACCCGCACGGTGTAGGGCTCCCTGAAAACTACACAAACACAAACACAATATTACATACAACACACTACACGTAGAAAAGATTCAATCTTTTAAATGGGGTTTTCTACCAAGGAATAAAGACTTCCCTATTTTTTTATGAACATTAAAAGAGATGAATTTGAAAGATGATGATTATCTACATAAAATATCCCAGAAGTGTTCCATTTAGAAGATGCGTCGAGAGAGTGTGAGCGCCATCAACATGGTCCTATTACCCCTCTTGCCAAGGCAAAAACAACAATCAGCTCCGTGTTTACATCATCAAAAACAACACATTAACACTCCAGAGCAAAACGCCCTTTCATCAATTACCACAGCACTCCGCATGTATTCACTGGAAATTACTGAACTACTCCTGTCTATTGTTTGAACTCTTCTAATCCTGCCTCTGCTTTTGGCACAAATGGCACAAGCCACCATTAGGCAGGATAATCATGGAAATCATTTTCTAGCTCGGGGATGACATCATAATAAAACACTGATGTTTTTGCTCAGAACTTCCCAAGTATACAACAGACTGAGCTGCACTGAAGGGTTAATGGTGCTTTGGTTTATTCAGGTTCATGCAATATTTTACACTCTGTTGAATGAGCAGGAGCTCATTAGCGAAATCACATGAAAGCTAGCACGTATCTGAAGGTTGCTAAGAAACTGGTTCGGAATCCCTTTCCTGGTAACAGACATGATGACAGCATGCATACATTCCTGCCGCAAGAAGAAAACACTTGCCAAAATTTACATGTTCTTTAAATAAATAAATTAAATAAACCCGTTCTGTTGAGTTCTTTTGAAACAGTATAATGAAACCCTTCTGTTGTGAATTTCTTTACACTTTGCTGTAAGCCACGAGGCAGCAGCACTGAATTCAATTTGACTCCTGTCAATAGCTGCTCAGTGGCAGTGCAAGCGCAAAACTGTGGCCATAAAATCCCAAACAAAACACCCACATCCTGTCTGACTGTATAACCTGTGCACTAAGGCTTGACTGAAGCCGTTGGCTGCAGGATGTTTGGTTCATGCTAATCCCTCGGCTCCTGAGGCCTGGCTTTTGGGTCATGTGGGAATGAAGGCAGCAAGCGGCTGGCATACAGCTCAGGGTCCTGGCTCAAATCCTCAACTTGGCACTAGTATTAGTATTAGAATGAATATGAGTATTAGTTTAGGTCGGTGTTGGGAGGCAGAATATGAAAACAGATGTTGATGGCAGGCGGGAAGAGGGAGGGACTCACTGGCCTGAATGAATGATGGGAAAGGGGGAGGGCAGGGCGATAGATGTAGTGTAAGTGTATGTGTCTGCTGATGTTGACGTATCTGTTTACCGGGTAATTTTCCTCTTCGTGTTTCTCTTCTCGTTGGAGAGCTGGAGCTTCCCAAAACCCCTGATGTACTATTTTACTTTAGATGAGGTCTCGCCTATTAAAGCCTCACATGCGCTAATCAATGGAAAGCACCAATTAGGTTTGTTAATGAGAGATAATTAAAGAAGTGTGCTGTGGCTAAATTTAGTCTGGCACAAGAGGACAGTTTGAAGAACGAGGGAGCAGGGAGGAGAAGGAGGACAGAAATGGGAATATGATGGCAACAGAGGCAGCTTCCGGTCAAAATTCACAAAAATAGACTGTAGAGAGTCTAGTGGTGTATACTTTGTGTGTATCCTTTACTATAAGTGAAACCCACAACAATACACAACAGAGCATAAAACTTAGTGCATAAACCTAAAGTTTAGTACTCTACACTTAAGTACACACATTTCTTTTTTATGCAGTGAATTGCTTTTCACACCCTGCAAAGCATTTAAAGGTACTTGTTTAAGAAAAATTCAAGTGGCTGTCAAGCTCCTCTTCTGTTGTGCTGACCTTTGATAAGGACTGCCAACGAGGATGAGCCGGTTAACTCATATAACCTTTTGTCACAGTTTTCCTCCTTACCGGATGTGGTTATATCTCACAGTAGAGCTGCTACTTCACTCTAAGTACTTTAAGGGTTGTGTTTTGAATTTCTTTCTACCAGATGGTGCCACGCCATAGATGAAGGGGTTATGTTGGTGTAAAGTGCAGTGGTTCATCAGCAGCTCAGTCAAATAGGTGTGAGCAAAGGCCAAGGCCTGATGTAGTACGTGATGCAGATGTTCTCTCTGTAGACTGTGTTCTAGGTCAATCTGTGTTCAGGTCGAGACAGGCTATTTTAGGGCAGGTGATTCTGTGTGTGGGTTGGGCTTTTTGCAGCTGCCAATCACATCTGCTCTAGTTTATGCTTCAGCAACAGTCTCTTCTTGCTGTGTCTCGCTTTGACCTTTCGCTCCATAACCCCACTTTTCTTTACCCTAGAGTTTATTCCCTTCCTGGCTGTCCATTCAACTCACCGGCTTTGATGCGAATGTTGGGGCTGCGGATCTTGCCGGCCTGGTTTTCCGCGGTGCAGAAGTAGTCATTGTCGTGGATGTAGCTGTTGTAGGCAGAGGGCGAAAAGGGGTACAGTTGCAGCGTGCCATTGGCGTGCACATGCCGGATGTGGGGCACGTCGTAGATGTCGTCGCCGGTGGCCAGGTACCAGCGCAGTATGGCACTGGGGGTGCCCCCTGCTGGACAGGGCAGGGACACCCCCACCGAGCTTGAGTAGGTTACCCTCTGCAGGGAGGCATTCACAAAGTACAGCCTGGTAGAGCCCACATCCTCACTGTGTACTGCAGGGGCAAACATACAACACATCATCACTTAACAGGCAGAGATGGAAGTAAAGAGTCAATAACAAACACCTGTTACACGCTGTACACATGCTGAAAACACACAATAGTGTCAAAATAAACTTATCAGATTTCAGCAACACTGATTTAAAGCATTAAGCACCACAGTAAAGTGAAAATGTTGGACAGACAGGGAATGTCCTTCAAATCTGTGGCAAAATAATCATAACAAATGTGTGTCAAATGTCCAGCTGCAAACATCAGTCACATGATGCAGAAAGCAAGGGATTTGGGCCAAAGTCTGTGATGGTTTAGGTGGATCTGGGGGTGGGAGAGGAGGAGCCTGTTACCTCCATACAGTTCATGTACAAACACATAAAGACAAACAGAAAGCAAGAGAAAGAGAGGGAGAGAGGAAGGGAGCATGTAGATAGGTTATGTGATTGGAATTTCTATGCCAGACGCAGAGATTTAAGTCTATTTAATCTCCTTACATATTTAACACACACACACACACACACACACACACACACACACACACACACACACACACACACACACACACACACACACACACACACACACACA